CGGATTGATAAAGCCCAAAGCGAAGCAATATTATGATGTTTCCTCTATATTTAGATGGCATTATTTTTGATCTGTTAGCCAGAGATCCAGTGTTTCCTATATTTTAATGCAGAAATATGTAACCTGGTGAACTGGTCGCTGTGTTTTTGTGGAGGTTGACACTGTGCACCTAGGGAGCCCACTTTATTTAGCCCAGGTTTGTAGAATGTCACTGGTACTACTAGCACCCGTTTACATCTTTTCCCTGTGCATTGTTCAGAGAGTTCCTTGCCCCCCTTGTACTGTGTTTTAGGAGTAATAGATTTTCTTATTTGTAGCCACGTGAGGTTTTAGCCATACAGCTCATGAGGTCGGGAAGATTTGCTGCACACATAAAACAGATATATTTGCATCAGTGCTTTTGCAGTAATTTTTCAAATTACTGTAGCTCAGTACATTTAGGATTGTGTTTCTTGTCAACCTGTTGTATGTGCTAATAAAAATACAATGTGAATTCGTGGGGTTTTTTCTGCATTAGTGGTACATAACCCCATTTTGTATGTATTTTGGCCTGCATCTTACATACTTCATGTGAGAATTCCATAGGCACTGAATACTAGACAGTTAAAAATGTTAAGAAAACAAGACACACAAAACACCTTATCACGTTCAAAACAACGTTCCCTCCCCTTTGCTGAAAAGGGAAGTAACCTTCCCTGGAAAAAAATAGATTTTGTCTTTAGCAGTTACATTACTTTATTCTGGGATTGTAATCTGAGGTACCTGAATTTTTTTAGAAGATCATGGGTGGTTCAGGTTTACCCTAATTCCTGCCTCATAGATTAAGAGAAAATTAGGATGTCAGATGTTTTGGTACAATATACAGTGAAGTCTGAGTTGTTAACTGCTTACTGTTTTCAGCAGTGAAGTTTTAGCATGAAAGTTCTTTTTTCCTGTTTGATTTCACTTAGTCAGTAGTAATAATTGTTAGTGTCTGAAAATAAACATAGTCATGTAAATTTCAAAAAGTGGTTTCTCCTTTTTTACAGCAATTATTATCCTGGTTATGAGCCAGTGCTTCATGTGTCAGAATTCTTCATTTTGAACTTTTATTAAAATAGTGAGCCTAAGAAGATGTCCAATAGAGATCCACTAACAAATACAGATAAAAAGTAAGTATTTTTTCCCCACACACAGGAATACAGCAATTACTGGATTGTAAGATGAAAATTCTTGCAGTTTCATTAGTAGGATCTTGATTTGATGAAGTCTTTAAGAAAAATAACTTTGATATTTAAACAGTCTGAAGAAACACCTGAGAAAAGCTGATACCAACTCCAGCACATTTACACATAAAGGGAGGAAATAGCTTTTAACCTTTTCATTAAGTTAATCAGCACTTGGTTTAGACTGGTTCTGTAAGACATAAAACCCCCACCTAGAAATTCCTTAATAGTTCTGCAGCTGTGAAAATGTGCTTGAAAGGTATATAGCAAATTACTTTCTTGTATATATAGGGTAACTACAGTGACATAAGATACTATACGTACAGAATTACATACTTTTTAAATACATTACTTTTTCAGAATTATATGTCTGCATGCCTTTAATATTTTATATGTCGTGCTTTGGAACCATCTTATTTTTTACTAATGTCACGGGATAGATAATGATAATTATATTCATTTTATACACCATAATGTTATCCACTTAAAATTTGTATCAGATTCTAAATGGCAAACTTGGATTCGATTGTGATTGAAAATAATAACTCCAGAACCTTCCCAAACTCCTAAGTAACCGTGCCAACGCTGTCATCAAAACCATAATTAAAAACAGGCGCAGACAGCTCCTGCTAGACTGCTGTGTTTGCTGTGCTTGCTGTGCTTGTGCAATCAAATCAAGCAAATAGTATTCACAAGTATTGTCAAACAATTTGGCATAGATTTTGAATTATGCCACTTCATAAATAACTTTTGTTAAAAAAAAAAACATCCACAAAACATTAAAAAAATTAACTTGCTTTTTACTGGGATCTGAAGAGACAAACACCCAGCTTGTCCAATGGAAATATGGGGTATGTAATACAAAAATATATCTTTAAAACAGGTATGGCTTGCTAGATTCACGTGGAAGGTATATTATATGAATAGGTACCAGGTATTTCAAAGGCAGTTTTTCCTTGGAGATGAACATGAAAGATGCATATATCTGCACTTCAGCTACATGATGATGGAAGACAATAATTTTCTATACGTATTTATTTATTTGTTTTCTAGGAGACAGTATCAATGCACAATGCTTCGAGAATGCACTTGGTTATATATTAATTGAGGTTTACCTAAACATTAAATAATACCTTTCTCCTCTACACCAGGGCTTAGCCTCAAACCGTTCCTGCTTCTCCACAATTACATTGCTTCAGCTTTTCTTCCATGTTTAACAGTAGCCATATAATGACATATGTTTTCTTTTAATCCTTATGACCTAATCAGCAAAATGTATTTTGAATAATTAGTGGGGTTGGATAGATCAGAAGTAAGTGTTTGTTCTTGCTATGTGATGTAGTATTCTCTTGGCTGTGGGCCTTAGTGTCTTAATGAATTTTTACCTTTTAGGGTTAGTGAACCTGAAAGGCTACAGTTGCATAATTGCCTTGTGTTGGATTTTTGTAAAAGCCCTTTGTTTTATTGATAATAAAAAGATCTTGTGAATCTTGGTTCCAAAGATTCTGCATATCTTTTTGTCATCTGCTACATTATCCTGTAATCCATCTCAGTTGCTAAAGCATTACAAAACTTTCTTTGTGAACAGCAAGTGATAATTAATAATGTTGCCAGAATAAAATAGCTCACTAGCTGTTTGAAAAAGAATCTTGGTTTGTTTGCTGCATAAAATAACAGATGATATCTCTTGAAAATTTAGTCTTATTGATGTTAGGTTTTATGGGGTCTTAAGTTGTTACAGTATTCCTAGATCTTTCTGGAAGTAAAAAGTAATTTGTGTTCCCCTGAGTATGTTCCTGGATGGCAGAGAACTCGCAAAAGAAGCAATAATACCATTTTTCTGCGTGAGTCCTTTAGAAACGTTAAAAGCAGCATAGCAGCAGAATTTTAAGGTAAAGAGGGATACAAGCCTTGCAGATGAGTTCAGGAAGCTGAACATAACATGGTTTACTTTGAAGAAGGGATGGAGGAGCAGTTGTTTGAGCAAGTGATATATTACTGATAATAACTATTAAAAAAGGCTTACTAATAAGCTTAATACTACTTTTATCTGCTTGAATTGTTGAGAAGTTTGTTTTGCCTGGTTTAATAAAATTCTTTTTTTGCTTTTTAATAATGGAAATGCATAGCCTTGAGTCATATTTTTATTTGAGGGTGTGTGTGTTTCTATTGCAGAAAACATGACAAGTGGAAACAAGCCATGTTGGTCAGAGTGATTTGTTTTGAGAAATGTTCCAGATAATGGTACCACAAATTGAATTGTACTGGTGTTAAGAACAGTGACAATTTTGTTGGAGAAAGGCTATTTGTATTTTATTTTCTGTAACCTTGTCCAGAGCAAATCTAGTTGATATGATGCTTAAAATATTAATGGCTTTTCTTTCATTGGACTGTAATGCCAGTAACACCAGCAGAGTTAAACTGATTGAGAAAGGACTACAAAGGGCCAAATTTTTATCACTGAATGGATGTGAGCAATCCAAATGATACCAGTGGAGCTCTTCACCTTTTGGGAATTGGGAAGGCTGCTTTATGTTCCCACTTCCATCACTGATCTGCTCTTTAATGTGTGGTGGGTCACTTGACCCTTCTGCCCCTCTGGTGTGTGTGGATTGCAGGCTCTAGGGACTGATTTCTGTATATGTGAACACTGTATAGCACGTTGCCTTTAAGCAAAAAGATCCTCATCCCAGAACGTTTGGAGAAAAAAAAAGGTGGATGAGATAAGCATATGCATTCCTGGCATAGCCGAGCTGTCCTGCTGTGCAGCTGTAGACACTGACAGATGCTGTCTCATCACAGGTTACTCCCTGCTAGAGAGGATTCACCTTTCTACTTAAACAAAGCCCTCATTGAACATGTAGTTTTCATTTTAAACTGTAATCTTTTTAAGATCTTTTAGGGAGAGGGAGAGTAAAAGGAGTGCATCTTCTAACGCAAGCCTAGAAGAAAATAGTAGTTAAACAAACTGATGATAGAACCTGAGAACTTCTGAAAATATGTGTATCTCTGCAAGACCACGGCTCGTATCGTCAGAGTCTTACCTCTGGAAATAGCCGTGTATTTTTTACTTTTTCAACTAGATTATACTCAGTGTAATGTTACAAATTCACCATTTTTATTTACAAAGAAACAGATGCATCAATTTCCATTTCTGCAGAAAACACATAATCCAAGTTCTGTGTTATACTTTTGACTGTTGAAAGACTAAAAATCAAGTTAAAGCATGACACAAACCAATACCATGATTGAGAATGCAAAGTAATAGCATAATGGCATTTGTTTCATTAATGCTTTCAGTCTGTCTGCTTTGTTGGCTTTCCCTTTTGTGTGTGGATGTACATAATCCTGTCTGCTAGGAAGATTGCTTTAGAAAGGTCATGAGTTACCGCTTTTGACCTTGTTTGGAGGGAACATGTAAATAAATTATTGGAGGAACATGAGCTAATTATTTTAATTATTTCATTTGGCTTTGGCTACTAGATATAGCTTGCGTAGTCACAGCTAGAGTAAATGCAAGTAATTTTTATCTCCTTTGTGTTTATCAGTCTTTGAAGTTGCTATAAATTGCCATTTCAAACAGAGAAAGTAAACATTACCTCGGTAGGTGAATTAGTCCATGTGACGCAGAGGGTTTCAGAGAAGATTAAGTAGGCAGAGACACTCGTCTCGAGGTCTGTCTGTTTGGGGTTTTTTTAGTTAGTAGCAGAAATTGTCCTGCATGTAACCGGCTGAATTGGAAACCTCCCGTGTGTTTTGGTTGCTTTGTCATTGTCTCTACTGCTGTACTGAAGAATGTCCTTGCTCTCACCAGGGGATGAAGATGAACCAGAGCGTTTTGATGGTCTTTCTCTCTTGTACTGGTATGCTTAACCATTAGGTTCTGATGACATTTTTCTAGTCTGTAACTGGGAGGAGTACAGTAAAGATAATAATATCTATTTTGTGAGGGAGGGGTACTAATTCTTCCATCAATAAATCTAGATAAATATTTTGTTTGTTGACATAAATGACTAATAATTTCTCAGGAATAAGATCAGAAGAATATCCAGAGTTGTATGTTCTGATAAGTCTCTAGAAGATATAAAACATAAAGCTGTTGAACTTCCTTGTATGTGCTGGCAAAAAATAATAGAAAAAAGTATCAAATATTTAATTTTAATTGCCTTTACACCTGCACAAAATTACATGCACTTAGTCTATTAGCATTCCAGGACTTCAGTTGGAGTGTGGAGTTCTATATTTTTTAGTGTAACAAAGTTATAGTGTGCATTTTGTAGAGTCTTGCTTGTTTGTCTCATCTATTGTCTCACATCTTTTCTTCTCTGTGTGCTAAAAGCTTGCTTACAAGTATTTTTGCATGACTTCTGCAGGAATGAGCAGTGACATCTGTTTTTTTTAATTTGTATCTTTTCCTACAATGAACATAGTCATTGTTTTTTGTTACAGCTAATGGGTTTAGAAACCTGTTTCCTTATTTACGCTGTTGAGAGTATTTCTAATGTTTGGGGGAAAATATTCTATATTTCATTAATATTAAATAACAATAACATGAAATAAATGTTGGATGGGTGCTAAATCCAAGTCTTGTTAGAGTGAAGCTGTGTTAAAGCCCTGTTTTTTAGAACCATGGCAAGTAGCTTGGCTTGAAGATCCAGCTCTAATTTATATGTGAGAAAAACTAACACCGCAAATCAGCAAGATGTGGTATGCTGAACAAATTTGGGGCATTTGAAGATCCTTGTCTTTACTTTTTATGTGATAAAGTAATTTTAAACCTCATGTATTGGAGGGATTTAGTCTTTAGAGCATAAATACAATTGAATGCCTTGTCAGGGTGTCTGTCAACATCATAATAATTTCACTGTTTCAGAGATTCCTCTCCATTGTGAATTATTACTTTGTATTCTCTGTGTCCTCTTTGTCAGAATACATTTTACATTAGTTAGGTTCTCTCTTTTTAAAGTATTGCCTGTTACTTCTAGAAGTGTAGATCATATTAAGTGTTCTGTGCCTAGATTTTATCATATTTCAGTATCATTTCACGTGGTGGTATATAAATATCTTCTACCATTTCTGGTGGACTCTGAACTTTAGACTTAAAGTCTGAGATTTGATCTTTTAAGACTTTACAAAAGTCAACTTCTGTGTGAGGCTGAAACATTTGTTCTTGCCTTTAAAAAAAACAACAAAAAACAAAAAACTGCTGTGTGAAAACTGCTGAGAGCAGGGCACAGTAAGAAGCAGAACAGTAGTAGCAAAAGGCAAGACAGAAGAAAAATAGAGTCATTGGCTGCTTATTTTAAATATCAGTGTTGGTTCTCTAAGTTTTCAATGATGATACAAATCAACCCAGACCTGTGAAGAACATGACTAGTATGTTGTCTTTCAGCTTTGAAACAGTTTAAATTCATGGCATAATTGAAGTGACAGTACTAGGCTGTAATGCAAAATACTCTGTTGTAGAATAGAAGTGGTTTATCAAAAAAGTTTTGTTGGAGAACTAGCAGACGTAAGGATTTATTCTTCCTTTCAGACTGTGATTAAGCAAAAGCAGTTCGGTTCACTTCTAGTCTTACAAAGTGTGCCTTGTGCTTTGTCATGTAGTAGCGAGGCCATGTGCAGTCTTGTCAGCAGCCAAATACACCAACCAGGTTTCATCATTTCTTTTTACAGAATCACAGAATCTCAGAATTGCCTAGATTGGAAAAGATCTTTAAGATCATAGAGTCTAATCATAAACCTCACACTGACAGGTCCTCGAAACTAGCCCATGAAACAAATACTGTGAGGAATACTGAAGTGAAAGTTATACAATGTTCGAAGCATAGGCTTCCTGTTTGTTTCTAAAGATGAATTATTAGGTCTGTTCTTCTGGCCAGCCTTTCTAAAGCGAAGGCTAATTCTGCAAATACTGGGGAATTTGAAGTTGTGGAACAAATTTGTGTTTCAGAGCAAGTGCTTATGCCTTGCTAAAAAACAAAAACAAAAAACCTCATCCACATTTTCTTACACAAACCCAAAAGAACTAGGGATGGTCTTTAGAGGCTGGATCTCTTCCCTGGTGCTAGAATTTAGGAACATTTGGACCTTCCGGATTTCTCTCTTCCCTCTGGCATGGCAGCTTTTAATGACTTGTAGTCCAGCTTTTGCAGAAGTATCCAGTTTCAGGCATGGAGTTCAGGCTGTATGCTGGATTTAGTTACGTGGGAGGATTTGGGTCACTGTGTCCTCCACTTTGATCTTCTTCCCCCCTCCCCCACTAATAAATTGTAGTTGTTCCATTTCATTTTAATATCATGCTCTAGAAAATGCAACTCACTAACTAATACAGAACAATATATAGGTCAAAGCAGAAAAACCTAAGTGGTGCTTCTGCTTTTTTCTAGAAGGGATCTAGAGTCTTCTTGAAAAAATGGTACAATAGGAGGATAAAGGAGCTATGACACAATTTGGATTTTTTAGTAACAATTCATCTAAATTAAAATAAAAAATGGCAAAGGGTAATTGGATGTATAGGAATTCTTAACACTTTGCGTTCCCAGTGCAGTACGCTGGTCATGTTTTTGATGGAACTGTAAATTTAGGTTTCAAAAATGTCATTTTACTTTATATTTGTCCTTAATTCTTTACTATTATCAACTGCCTCCAAAATACTCATCTGCCTTTAGACAATTTCAAGTGCCATCCTGGTATCTTGTCTATGAGTAGGAGGGTACACAGGGGAGCTGGCAATAGAGTTTGGAAATAAGCCTTTTTTAAAACAGAGAAAGAA